CTATGTCCTGTATCATTACATAATTAACATTACCGAATTTGTTATCATAGTGATATGTGTCATCTATTTGCTTTTATACAGACCAGTCATATAATTTCAGTGGAATATCGTAAGGCTTTACACAAGGCTTTAGCATTAGATTTGACTAGACCCCATTTTCGACGAGGAAATGCTGTTAAATTTGACACACAGGCAAATGAGATACTTATAAATCCTCATCAGGCTCTTTTAAATAAAGGTATTTTAAATAAAAGTTCATTTATATACTTTCAAGTTTATCAATGTTTATTAATTATTGTAATATTTTATTATCTTTAGGCATTACAGGAAAACTCAGTATTGTGGATGGTTTGTATTCGTATCATCATTATATGCAGAATAATTTTGATGATAATGGATGGGGATGTGCTTATAGATCTCTCCAAACCATCATTTCGTGGTACAGGTAATAAAAGATCAAAGATAACCAGAGATAGTGCATGTAATGTGGAAATATTGTATACTGTAATATATGTACATATGAATAAATTGCAATCTGCTATAGATTACAGGGTTATAGTGAAGTACCAATACCATCTCATCGCAAAATACAACAATGTTTAATTGATATAGGCGACAAATCTTTCGACTTTCTTGATAGTAAACAATGGATTGGTTCAACTGAAGTAAGTTTTGTACTGCAGACTCTCCTTAATGTAGATGTCAAGATACTTCATGCATCAAGTGGAGAAGAGATGTTAGCCTTAATTCCACTACTTGCAAATCATTTTGATACACAGAGTACACCTGTTATGATTGGTAAGTTTTAATTATATTTCTTCATTTTTACAAACAATTAAAATTAGACGTCTAAAATATTGAAATATTAAATATTGACTTTCTGTATGTTTTTTTGTTTTATAGGTGGAGGAGTATTAGCTCATACAATTCTAGGAGTTAGTTACGATGAATATTCTGGAGAGGGAAAATTCTTGATTTTAGATCCACATTACACAGATGAAGAACACTTGCCTACCATAATAAATAAGGGCTGGTGTGGCTGGAAAACGAAAGATTTTTGGAAAAAGGATGCATTTTACAATATGTGCCTTCCACAAAGACCTATAGCCTTCTGATATTAAATATACTGCATTGTACAGAATTTAATTTTCTAAATATAATCAAAATAAAAGTTCTGTTATATAGTCACACATTATAAATGCATATATATAGAATAATTTTTACAATATATTGCATCACTACAATATTTTTATTTTACTTGTGCAATATATGCCACAGAGAAGGATCAACATATACTTTTATTTCTAAATAAAAATAAATTTAACTAGGATACTTATAATGAACTTGTAAATGAGTGAATATTTATTGGGCATGTGGTATAAGAAGTATTGAAAATAAAAGGTAATAAGAAAGTATTGAAAAATACTTTCTTATTGTTATAATATATAATTTTATATATTCATAAATATTAAGAATGTGATATTGAGATTTAATATCTGATCATAAATCTTCTGCTATCGATATACAATTCATTACACACACACCTTAACAATAGTATACTCTACAAGTTTTACTTTTCTATAGAGTTTTGTATCATCTGTGCAAAACGATTTGTAACAAAGAGGGAAACATCTATAAATCTATCGACACAATTGTTTATGCATGTTTCTGTACGGCCATCCAATTTACTTCCTGGCTTATCAACGCATTTGTCCCAACAAACATCGTTGAACTCGTGAATCTAAGCAAATATTTAAAAAAATTTTCATGAAACTTTTACAAATAACAAATAAAAATTTTTTTCCAAGCAGATTGGCAAACATTTCTTAATAATAAATGCGTTCCGTTTTTTCCATCTATGTGTTGTAAACATCAGTCCTCATTGTCAAAGATTAAATAAAGATAAATAATGTTTGCAAACATTGTAAGCACAAAACGGAACGCATCCTATGTGTAAAATAATGTTGAAGCAATTTAGGAAAGTAGTTCAGATTCATTTTAATAAAAGTTTATCTGTTAAAATGTTTCACCTGTGCATTGAATTGTGCTTTTTGCTTCTCGACCATTATAAGCTCTGCTAATTCGGGATCGATTCCTTTATTGTCCTTGTCAGAATAGGAACCGCTGTCAAATAGATCTGACATGTTTCAAAATTGCGATGAAGTCAGTTTGCAAAATCTTATTATGTAAATATCGACTCTTATGTTTTACACGTGGTACTCAAGGGCCGGTTTCATCAATGTTGATTAACGCTAGAGACCGTGATGGAAGCAGAGAGAAACCTGAGAGAG